TGCTTACAGAGGAAAATAATGTCTCAGGGAAAATGAGGAAAAAGAAAAAAGAAGAGAAAATAAAAAATGTCTAAAATTATATAAACACACTTAGGATAGCTAAGAGATTGTGCTACAAACTCTGTAAATACTTAGAACAAAATAGTTATCATTCATAGGATTGGAACAACTGTGCATATTATTGTACAGTGATCTGAGGAGCTTTTGAAGATCATTATGCAGAATAACAACCCTAGTCATGCTCCTACCACCTTTTTTTTTGAAGGCCAATATTGTCAGTGTTCTGGGCTCTTTGCTATTGTTGTTTATATGTCTTTTTTGTTTTGTGTTTTTCTAGGAATTTGTTTTGTGTGGTCTTCTTTTGTTTTTCCCTCTAATACAGAAAGGATAGGTATACATGTAGAGACCCATGCATGCATAGAACTTCTAAAAAGTTTATGAGAATTGATTATATAATGCACAATGAAGTGAACAGCTACTTTGAAAAAAAAGAGACACTAAGGTACCCAGTGCTGATTTCATAGAGCCATGTTGTGAAATCCAGCAATATTATTATTCTTTGCTAAGAGTGATTTTATTCTATTTTGTTTTGTTTAATTTCAAAATACATGAAGGTATGGACAGCTATTTTGAAGAGAATGAGAGACATGACGGCAGCCATTGTTGACTTTCTATTGTCTGGTGTTGAAGACCTAAAATGCCTTCATCATCTTGTTCTGATCAGTTTAATACTATTATGTTTTGTGTGAATTCATTGTATGTGAATATATGAACAATTATTTGGAAAAGAAACAAGAGACATAGGATAGACAGTGAGGATCCCTGGCTGTCTTCCTTTGAAATCTGTGTCTCTTACATTGTTATCTTATGATCTTTTTTTGTTCTATTTGGTTATGTTTAATTTTTCTCTCTTTAAAAATAAAGTTTAAAAAATGAATATTATGTCAAACATCATTTTTACTTTCTTGGAAGAACAGTGCAGATTAATTTTTTCAGTTAGTTGGATGTTTAAATAGTGTTTATTTTTTGTTTTTAAGAAACAGTTTACTACTTTATAAATACATGAGTAATATTGATCTAAATTCTTTGTTTTCATTTGGCAAAATTGTGGATAATTATAGCATAGAGAGTATATTAATAATAAAAATGAAGAAGTTACTGCAGGCTATTTCCTGAGTTTGGAAACTTAAGAGACATTAAACTGTTCCAGGTTCACCACTTCTTTCAATATCATTCATTATAGCAAAGTTTTAGTTTTTTAAAAAAAAGGAATGCTTATGTCTTTAAATATGCCTCAGTAGAAGCTTAAAAGGTGTTAACAAAAGACAAACTTAGACTATAATCTTTTCATAGTCAGAATGATTTGACATCTGTTTGTGACTTCTCAGTACCAGGTAATTCTTGTTCAAGAAGAAGCTGAGTTTTTGACATTGTAACTCAAGAAGTTGCTGCAACATTCTATAAATGCAAATTCTCAGAACTCACCCAAGAATTCCTCAATTAGAATAAGCCTTTAAGTAGAATCTGCAGATGATTCAAAGAAACATAAGAGTTTAAAAGACCTTGAATTTTAGAAGACAGTGATTTCTAGAAAAGACAGTCCATTAAATTTGATGTAAACTATGATCATTTGTTTTAGTTAACTATTACCTCTCTGATATGTACAAGATCATTTCAAATAAGAATCTTTCATAAAGCAAGCAGACATAAAATTAGTTGAATTTGAATCAATGAATAATGAAAAGACCATTTCTGAGTTAAAAAGATTTCTTTTTTATTCCAATTGTTTGGATAAGAAATGTATTACAGAAATGGTTTCAAACTATTAGGACTCTAGTAGAATATACTAGATTCTTAATATTTTCAAAACTTTTCCAGATAATTATAAATAAAACTAAGGCAATGCTTATTAAAACTAAGTTATCTATGAGTAAAGTAGCATTTCAATGTTCTTAGCATGCATTTCCTTTGAACATGATGAGTATATGCTGTAAGCTTTGAGGCAGTACTGAATTCCGATGCTTAAATAGAGTAAGAACAAAAGCAAAAATAAAAAGAGGAAAATATCTCATAAGAAGTGAGGAAATTTGGGCTCTATTTTTTTTTCTCACACCATTTGTGAAAATCGCTGTGGAGAGTGTCATAAATTCCTACAGATTGTCATTTCCTTGGGTTATTATTGTATGCAGTAAGTTAACTAGAGCTAATGTATTTCCGGGGCAGGCGGAGAAGACTGAGAAGTACAAAGCCTTTTATCAACAAGATGCATTTAAAGCACAAAATGTAAGAAACAGCCTGATTAGTGAGCGCTGATTATCCTCTGAAGCTGCTTTCTCGTGCAGTGCTGCCAACACACAGCCTAATAGGCAGCGCTGTCCCTGGAAAGCATCCCAAGACCTGTCACCAAGAAGCGCATTTCCTATCGGAAACGTCTGCTAAGCTCTGCATGAGTGGCGAATACACAAGATAATTGTACATAAACAGTAAAAGCAAAGAAAAAATATAACTTACAAGCACAAAGAATAACAAGGCATCATGAGGCAGCTTGTCACACAGGTGTATCAATGTGTGGGCCCAGGATGGGATTCACTTAGCCATTAACTAGGTGTACGTTATTCACACCATACTTCTCTGGGCATCAGTTATCTTATGAGAAACACCAAGCATGGTGTGATTGTTTCCCAATGCACATGAGCTTGTCTTAAAAAGCTTTACAAAAAGGCACATGTCTTACTCCAAACAATTAAAAGTCAAAGTCTCCAAAACTACAGACTTGGGCACAGGATTTTATTTATGAATTTTCCCAGGCAGCAAGTTTTATTTGCATATTTCCTTAGAAGGGTTTATTAATCATGCTGAGGTTTAGATCTTACCTTTCATTACATTAAGGGCTTATCACTAGCACCTTTGTTGCTATTGGTAAATAGTAGAATCTGGGGGAGGTGAAGTCTAGGGAAAGGAAATGAGATCACTGGGCTGTTCCCTTAAAAGGGTATGAAGGCGCTGGCCCCTTCCCTCTTCCTCTGCTTCCTGACAGCTCTGAGAGGAGCAGTCTCTTCTGCCAAGCCTCCTGAGGCCATGCCATGCTGCCTCATCACAGGTCTAAAGGGAACAGAGCTGAGCGGTGATGGAGGAACCATGAGCTAAGGTTAGATCTTTTCTTTAGAAAGGCATTCATTTCAAGTAATTGTCATAATGATGGAAAAACTGAGTAACACAGGCATTAAAAATGCTGAAATATACATAGCTATATACTTATTTTATATCACTTAACTATTTGTGCATTCATTTATTTATATACACTCAATTCTATCTCTACCATCTTTAATTTTCTATACTTTCCAAGAAAGTACATAGTTTGAATCTAGAATGATCTCCAAAATTCTCCTATGCTCAGGGGTAGGGCATTTGGAAGGTGGTGGGATCATGACACCATGCTCATCAGTGGATACATCCTCTATTGGGGTTCAGTGGCTGAGTGTGCAGTGGGAGATGGAGATGCTGAGGAGAGGAAAGCCACGGAGATTTTGACCTTGACAGGTGTATTCCCAGCCCGCCATCCTCCGTACTCACTCTGCTTCCTGACTGCCATGAATAAGCAGCTTTCCTCCCCCCTAGACCCTACCACCATATGTTTTTGCTTTAGAAGCAGTTGACTACAGATTGAAATTTCTAATAACTGTGAGCCCAAACAAAACTCTCCTCCCTTAATTTGTGAGTGTTAGAGTACTTTGTTTCAGCAATGAGGAAAATGATTAAGATGGAAGTTCTCTTTTTTTCTGGCTTTCTCTACCCTCATCTTTTCTTGACATAAAGGTCTTCTCTATAAGCTGAAGACCAAAACACTCCATGCAATTGATATTATTATTGTAACTATAAAGTTTTATAAATGAATATTTTCTGTCTTTACCTGTGTATAACTCCATGGCTACAAACCCAAGGAAAGTAAAATAAAAGAGACTTATATGATAAATGTAATAACTCAGGTTAATAACAAAGGTACAATAAAGAGGTTTTTGGATAATACTGGCTGTTATTATTTATTTACAACTACTTTAGTCCAAAGTGTTCCAACCAAACTGAATTTTAGTAAATCTACATGTGAAAACATTCCATGCGACTGGAGTCAGGTTGTGATTTACATATTAAAGTTTAATAGAATATATTAAAAATTTCATGTATAGCATGAGAAATTTTCTTAAGATAGCATGAGAAATTTTCTTAAGATTCCCTAATAAAGCAATTAACACATGATAGTTATAGCATTTCTTATAGAATAAGCGATGATAGGAAAATTTTTACACCAATATGGATCTTAGTTTTGAGTTCTATGTGACAAGAAGTTTTTAGAGGAGTCAGCGGGATTTAAATGGCTGAAAATGTATCAGTTAAATTAAAGTCTATCAGGTCCTCATTTGAAATCAAAATTGTGAACTAAGATTCTACTTTTTCTGATTGCGAGTACATCTTTTTTATGTTTTATTATTGAAAATTGGAAATAATGATACACTCAGTAGCAATGTACACACACAACTAAATTCTGGTAAAATATACTTCAAAACAATATGAGAGGTTGGAATGATGTAACATGGAAAAGACTGGTCGAGTTTTTATCATTGCTTACTAAAGTGCTATGCTTAATTAGTCCAAAGTAAGGCCAGAGGCTGTTTCAACTTGTAAAGTTGTCTTTTTTCATATTAATCTTTATATGTATAAAACTTAGCAGGGGTTTACTTAAATGGAATCATTTTCTGATATTTCAGAGTGGCCGTGTACATACTTTTGAAGAAAAAATGTTGCATTAAAAAGGAAAAAAATACAAATGAGAGACAGTAACAATAATAACAAGATGTTCTTCAGAGGGCGTTTTAGAAATATGAACATTATCTGGGAAATAATAATTATTCTGATTGAGTCAAATTTCTTTCCTCTTAATAGATTTTAATATTTAGCATCATTAATGATGTTTAATATTAATGCAATCTTTTGTTCTTTTCCAGAATTATATTTTGTCAAATTACCTATTCCAATGTCAGCTTCTCCATTTTGAATTATAATTTCTTCACAAGGTATGTGCTCTAACTTTTTTGATCTTTTCCTCAGAAATGTTGTTTTCGCCCTTCTCTTCTTTACAACACTTCTCAGCTTATCCTGTTTAATTTTTTCTTAACAGTCAAGCCTCTTTTGGACAACAAATATTTAAACCTTTTCTCTCATTTTCACTATTTATTCTTTATTTTTTTCATAGTATTTAACACTACTCAAAAGTCATATTAAAACTTTGTCTAAGTATTGTCTGTATCACTCTATGAAGAACCCTAAAAGCGGGAACATTGTTACCACTCCAATAATTACTACACAGCTTGTCTTAGTTACTTTTTACTCGTTGCTGAGACAAAATATCTGAAGCCCAAATTGGGAAAGGAAAGGTTATTGCTTACAGTTTTTGGAGATTTCAGTCCATACTCAGTTGGCTCCAAGGCAGGCGGGCATGGCTGGGCCGCAGTTCATGGCGGCTGCAAACAGTGAGGCGAAAACCAGCAAAAGAGCAAGACACACTTTCTTCCTGCCATTACATCACATCCTGGCTCCACCCCTATGTGGGTGGAGCACTGACACCATTAATCTAAGCACTAGACAATGAACCAATCACAAGTGCACAATGCAAACTCATGAGGCCTGCGGGCCACAGACATAAACCATGACACAGCTATACTCAGTACTTTGGAATTAATACTGGATGAAAGTCATAGCAATTCACCAGAGTGTCATCAAGGACACAAATTAAAGCTGAAAAGCTATTTAATTATCTGGAAAATTCTATTTGAATGTTAACATATTTCAGAAATGTGCTTTGAAATTCTCTGTGTTGTAGGATAGGTTAAGGGAGTCAGATAGTAGGAAAACTCTTACTAGAGTAAGCTTGTTACTTTAATAAACTCAATTTACCCACTCATCTCCAGAGATGTATGCTACGTTTTGGTGATTCTACTAGTTCCTGTGTACAGGGCAAGTAGGTCTCTAAGAAGTCATGTTGTACAGCAAAGGAAAAGCAGCTTGCATAAGCAGGAATTCCAAAGAGAGGCCAGACGATGTACTTGTAGGAATATGCAGAACAGGTATGTCAGGACAGGATTTCAAGGAGCAGTGGACACCCTGCCTCCATGTGCCAGTGTACATGTTAAAGACAATGTACACATTAAAGACAGGGATTTGTAGCATTCAGACATGATTTATGTTGAATTTTATTGTATTTTTTGGTGTATAATACTGAAAAGACTTTCCCACATGTTGTACAGTAAGATTGATCAAAGCATATTACAGTTAATCTAAAGGCAAAAAGAACAAAAAAGTAAATAGGCAAATAAGCATAAATGAAACAAACACAACCAGGTACACTGTGGTTTATAAAAATTAATAAGTGGTTTTGTATGAAGAACATTTTTTTAGAATATTTTTGGATTATTTTGTTGATAAATACAACTGAAGGAACAGCTCAAAAAGACAATAGTAATTCCATTTTGTAACAATCTGTCCCTTCAAAAGCTACATATTAATAGGGAGAAAGATCGGCCTAAGGGTTTTTTGCTTTGTTAAAAATTTTAGTTGTGATTATTTTCTTTTGGAAAGGAAAATAAAAATGGCAAATCTTGAAATGTAGGTCTTTCCAAAATAGATGTGAGGGGAAGAAACCTCTCCCTTTTCAGGGTACAGGAAGTAAATTAGAATTTTGTGCTAAGGATATCTTATAGGCATTTTTAACATATTTAAAAATCTGTTTTGATATCAGATTGATTTTACAAAACATCATTGGTATACTAAATCATGCTGATTCTAGAAGGAAAGAAAATTGCTCTTTAAAAATTGTTGATATAATTGATGAGATTCATGTGATAAAAATTTTTTATTTGCGCTAGAGAAAAGTTTAGCAGAGACAATAATTTATTTTTTTGCACCCTTTCTGGTAGAAGGCAGGTGTATTTGAGTATTCTAATCCAGTCTGGCAGGTTTCAATTTACTGGCAGATGTCAGTTCACTGACAAAACAAAGAATTTAAGAAAAACAAACAAAACAAAAAAAATCAACTAAGGAACTAAAACGACAAATTTTCCTTAAGTCATCACAGAGTTGAATCAATGTTATTGAAATACATTAGTGATAAGGATAGAAAATTATATTTTATTTAAGGATGAGTCAGACCTCAAATAATTTGTGCATCTCAAGACTAAATGTCTGAGGCTTAATAAACAAGTTTCCTGGTAATTCTGAGTTAATTCATGCTAGGATGTATAATCAGGAAGATGTGAGAAAGCAGTTTTTACTGCTGACATTTTCTGCTAGGTTACCTTCACCATCTAAGTGAAATCAGCCCAGATGGTATCCTCTCTTGAGTGTTGAGGTGCTACATAAAAGATAATCCTGACAATCGTAATTAGATCCTTTTCATTGATAAGAAGCTTTTAATCTGTACGTTTCCTCAGAGCTGCCTTCCCCTCTTTTTTAAGTGTAAAGAGCATTTTCTTTCTGTTTCTCACAGGATAAATAGTTCTAAACTTGATTTTTAAAATGCTCTGTGGTTGTTCCAAAGTCAATTGAAGGGTGCAGGTCAATTTTCTTGAGGTTCATTTTTCTTTTCCTCATTTGAAGTCTGTGCTAAGTTCACTTGCAGGGATTTACTGTGGGGTAAACCCAATAAAATTTGCCAGAAGTGAACTGGACTATACTATTAAATCCAAGAAAGGAAATTAAGATCACGAACAGTATCGATAATTTAATGAGAAGTTATTAATGTTATTTGAGAAGATTTAAATGAATGAAATCAATATTGATCTGAGAATATTGGGCTTTATTAAAGTTCTTACTGCTGTTATATCAGGGATTTTATTTTTACTATGTAAAAAACAATATGTATTAAACTTGTAGTACAAGTCATACCATGATTGTTTTTTATAATAAATGTATACTTCCTCACTACCAACCTATTATATAATCTTTCCAGTCATGATATTTTGTATTTAATTAACATTTACTTTTTTATTATATAGTTAATGAGCACAAAAGACTAGTTGATAGTCTAATAAGGTATTTTAGTTTAGCATTTAACTTAGAACTATTATAATAAAAGTATAAATTCTTCCTTGGTGAATAATTTATACTTTATAAATTGTAATTTCAGTCATGTGAAAGTTCTTTTATATTTCTTCACTAAACTCTCTCATACATTAAACTGTCTTATAAGTTGCACCCAAAGGAAGAAAGTGTATAATTGGTGGTTGATTGTCAAATTAAATTTTTCAATTTAATACATTTTCCTCTATTATTTTAAATTTTGCAGTATGTTAATTTATTATAGTACACAAATGATTAATTGAAAATTAACAAATTCCGACATTCTATGATGTATGAAAACTATAACACATTAACAGTAAAAAAGTTTTGCCACTTTGGGAAGCTATTGGCTGAATCCAGTATGTTCTCTTTCTCCTTTCGACATTTAAAGATCCTTAAGCTTTTCAGTGGTTACTCTCCACATCTATGTTTACATAATTCAACATGCATATAACTGTATTTTCTTTTTTCATACAATTGACAGCATTCTATACACAGTTTGAACAAAGAAAAACAGCATATTGTTTAATTTTAATTTATATTTATTAATATGGAAAACAATTTCCACTTTTATTTTTTATTAATGCACACTAGTTATACATAGTACTAGGTTTCATTTTGGCATCCTTGTATATGTACATGATATACTTTGATCATTTCCACACTCTCCTGCTTCCCCGACCATTCTTTTCTCACCTCCTTTTTGTTAAGTCTCTCTTCTATGTTCATGTTGTCTCTCTTGTGTGTGTCCTCTCTCTGTCTCTAGATTACACATGACAAAAAAATTTATTTGTAATTGCTTTTTTGAAAAATATCATTATAGCTTCTGCTTATTTTTACACCATCACTGATTTTCCTATTATTTGATAGATGTAGAAGTTCTGTATATATTATAAAAAGTTACTGTTTCTTTGTGAATGTCTGTAATTATGCTTCCAGTGTGGTTGATGTGCTTTTTTCTTTTACAGGGCCTCTTGATTGTTACGTATCTGAATTTTTCAATCTGTTAGCAGAAATTTAAAACATGTAATTTTAGTTCTGTATCCAAATCTTTGATGCATCTGAAATTAATCCAATGTAAAAAGTCAATCTTATTCCTATAATTTTTTCAAAAGAAAGACTACCAAGCTTTCCCCTGGGGATTTGAATTGCCACTTCTATCTAATCCAAATGATGAAGGCCTTTTATTCTCTTTTTGCTCTTTCTATCATGTTGTTATGACTATTTTTATTCATATACTATGATCTAGAGCTAATCTTTGGAGTCTTTCAGCAGAGCTCCAGTGAAATTTTGATTTCTAAGGGGCCAGTGATCCCTTAAGGGTTTGATGGGCGTGCAGTCTGAGATGAAGAAAACCAGTCTTTCTTCCTCTTTGCTATATTTTGGGAGAGAGCCTATTTCAAGGATATCTGGGATAAGGTAAGAGATGTGGAAGTAAGAAACAGAGTGGGGAATGTGTTTGTAAGTGGATTTGGGAGTTTCCACCCCCAGTAGAAAGAGATTGGGCAAAAGTGTAAACAATTGTCTTTAAAAAGACGGTGAGAATCTAAAAGCACATATTGTTTCCCATGAAATTTGTAAGATAAATTACTAGATGAAGTCAAAAGCAGGGCCATTTTATTCCAACTTTTCCAGAAGTCCTGATTTGTCATAGGATAATTCACCTTGCTGATAGTTTGGAGTAACTCCCTAGGATTCCTCCCAGGACGTAGACAAGCAGTAAACACAAAGTCTAAGCAGGCAGTGATTCTTTTATCAAATTCTACACTTAATAAAAGTAGATTTGTTTCAGAAAACTTGTTTAATTTTTTCCTCCATTGTTGCAGCTTCCTCCCTAGTCTTAGAAAAATAATGAGACACAAAGCATGACATCTGTGAAGTTGAAATGGACATTTAGCTGAAGTTAATTTGATGTCTTAGTGTTTCCTAGCTAGAGGGCATAAATTAAGAATCAGTATCCTTAATTTCATCACCTGCTTGGTAATAAAATACTCATTTTAAAGAAGTTTGAACTGGGGGCTGGGGATTTCGCTCAGCAGCGTAAGTACCTGCCTTGCAAGCAGACGGTTGTGAGTTCGATCCCCGGTACCCATAAAAAAAAAGAAAAAAGGAAAAAAAAAAAAAAAAAAGAAGTTTTAATTGAAGTATGCAAAAAAGGAAGTTCGATATATTTTGAAATTTCTTTTTAAAAAATTAGTAAAGAACTCTAATAGCAAAATAATGGATGAACATTTTTTGATAACTTAAAAGTTTGATATTGGAGTTGAGAACTTAATTGTACTCTTTTTACCAACATTTTACATTTGGAATTTTTCTTCGTAAAATTCTCCTTCAAATTTATAATTTAAAAAGTTCTCAGATCCAAAAATAGCACACCAAATAAGATACAAATATATAGATGATCCTTTCCAAGGGGAGGTATTACAGTATTGTTCAATTTTCAAGCGTAAGAAAAACGTGCATTGAAATGCTCTCTCTGCTTAGCCTCAGGGGAATCACTGCTTTGTGTCTTAAGATCTGTCTGCATAGCCACGCAGACGTGCAGACATTAGGCTGTGCTTTTTTGGCGACACTGCCTGATATGTGAGCTAGAAAACATAGGGATGTCTTTGTGTGATGCTTTTCAAATTGATCTAAAGTTTTGAAATAGTTCAGCTTCTAAACTATCTTCTTTAGTTCAAGACTAAAGAAAATTTTCTTTTATTGCTATAGATGAACGGCGAAGAAGTTTAAAGTCAAATAGAGAGTTTCCAAGAGCTTAACAAAAGTTAAAATCTTGTGTGCTTTCTATAATCACCACTTTTAGATGTGTTTTATTTTCATTTTCTTTGAAGAAGCAAGAAATGAATTGTGCAAAGATTTATGCCATTTAATGTCACAGTTGATTACCAACGGAAATTGGAAGAATGCAATTTTTATTACTTTATGTAAAAGAAAGCTATATTTCAGAATGAAATGAGATTGGTTAGATGGACAGATTTAATTTTTAAGAATGTATGTTATCTTGAAGGATATATTTGTATAAATTGAGAAAGTTAATTCTAAATTATTTGAATTACGTGATTCATCTGACCTGGTAATAGTCATATTTTATTGTAAATATAACATTAAACAAGCTTTTCTTGTATTATGTTTCTGATTTTTATGTTTGTTATGATGTCCTAAATATTAAAAAGTACATAAGATACTGTAATGTTTATTAATATAGTGAATTAAGTATCTATTATTTGGCATTTGTTGTTCACATTCCATAATGTCCAGCATAATAGACATTAAATGTTTATTAACCTCCTATAAATTATACTCATTTATTAATGCTGATGAATGTATACACATTCTTTTATCTTTCATAGAGCGATTGTCTTATGAAGTTAATTATTCTCATGTTAATAGCAGACTTCTTGTGACTGTTATCTCAAAAAAATTTTTAAAAAATGCACATATGTCCTATTTTTCCTTCTCTATTTCCTCCAGATCATATAACAACTTTAAGTATTTTCAAGTGTTTAGTATGAACTAGACACACTGCAAATATTACACATGAGCTTGATTTACAAAAGAGTTTATATAGTATGAGGAAGGAGTTGTTGAATTATTTGATGTTCCTTAAATATCATATAATTTTGTATATAATTGCTTGTTTTAAATATATTTATATATTTAGACCACTTGACAAACTGTTCTTCATCATTCCAAATCAATTACATGGTGATTAAATATCAATCTTTCTTTTTTCTAAAGTAGCCTATGAGTTTCACTGATTGGATAATGTAGTTACATTTCCTAGCAAGCACATACCATCTCTCTAGCCAGGTATAAAATATGTTTTTCTTTCTTTCTTTCTTTCTTTCTTTCTTTCTTTCTTTCTTTCTTTCTCTTTCTTTCTTTCTTTCTTTCTTTCTTTCTTTCTTTCTTTCTTCCTTCCTTCCTTCCTTCCTTCCTTCCTTCTTTCCTTCCTTTCTTTTGTAAATTGGATGATACATGTGTCATCTGATTGCTCTAATTCACAATAAAATAGGCTGCTTTAATATTGTACAATTTCCACATTATTAAAATAACGTGCTTATTTAAAATGCACTTATTTAATTGGAAAATAAAGAAAATATAAAATCAAATATCTAGATTTCACATACAGAAAGGATACATATAGTAACTTAACCAGGAATTAATTTAATTTTCTCCTGTAACACAAAGAACATCAGGGCTGAGAAATATGTAGCCATGATTTGATTTCCAAAAAATAGTTTTATCATCCTTTTCCAACATCCTTACAAGAATACTGCTACCTACAATGCTACAAACACGTCTGAGGTACAGAGGGGCAGAAGGAAGGGAAAAAAAATGAAAAACAAAAGTAGACTTGTGCTAGCTATATGGTACTTTTTAGCTTCATTGTTGTTGGGAATTTGTTTTAAAATATCAACTGCTTGTTGAAAGTGTTATTAAATGGACCAAAGCATATATATATATATATATATATATATATATATATATATAACATATGGATCTGTTTCACAGATTAAACTGCATGGAATTTAGAAAGTTGAGTAATTATTACTTGGACATCAATCTCCCGAAAGATGTTGGAGTCCAATTAGAAAGAAAAGCACTGAAAATGATTGTACAATAGGTATCTTGAACTGCCTATTATACATACATTTGCTAAGCAAACAATTTAGTTTTAATTTTTCCAGTGTATATACTTCACATTAGTTTTCACACATATTTTCTTTATATACATGCTTTCAATTATACATTTCATGTATATAATGTAATGGTCTCAAAAGTACACATAGGTGTGATTAAACATATAGCCAGTGTTTAAATTATTAAAACTCTACTATAGTAAAAGACAGAGTGTCATTAATCCTCCTCATGACACCACCTTTACTTCAAACACACTTACCTCATCATTGTTGCAACTTTCTCAAGCAGTTCTGCAAGTTCTCCTCCCTGTGTGTCTTAATTTGCACTGCCATGGTTGCCTTGATAGTCTGAATCCGTTCAAAACCTTTCACGGTCATTTAAAATTGGAGGAAGATGCAGAAGTCTCATAGCGCAGATCCAGTGATTAAGGGGAATAAGGACACACTATGAAGTTTTAAGAAGCCTGGCTTTCTAATGGATGCCACCTCGCAACACACATGGTAATTTTTGGCCATACTTATAGAGAAAGGGGACGTTTAGAACTGTTTCATAAGGTGACAAACAATGTTACAAATGTATTTAAAGCTATGAGAAATATTTTCAGGAAGATTAGTGTCATTTACCTTTGACTGTAATAATTTTTTAAATTAGGTATTCATTATATATTTTCACCAGCCCTTTTACATCTCAGTTACTAGAATATGTTTAACACATGAACAGAAATATTCAATTGCAGGCATTAAGTTTAATCAGATAAAGTCAATTCATTTTTAAAAATATTTCTAGAAACCAAAAATATGTACTGAGGTTTAATTATTAGAACATAAAGTAGCACACTGACACCAGAGAATCCTCAACTTCACTGCTGGTATTGCAAACATAGGTTATGTACATAGAGCAAAGTGTAAGCCCAATGAATGTAAAATCTAAAGGAAAAGAGACACTTATTTAGACCAAATCTTTTCTCAAGTAGGAGATTGAAACACAGGGAAATAAAACTACATGTCCAATTCACAATTCCAGTTAATAACAGATCATTAGAACAAGGGCATAGTTACGCATTTAGATCCAGATATGATAGGCAAATGAGTAGTATTTGACTTTTTCTAATATTCTGTTACATATTTCAGGCTTTTAAAAATGGCAATTACTGATGTAGCACAGTCAGATCAGGAAAATTTGCACATTAAAATCAAAATGATATCAGAAATTCAAGAGTATTTTATCTTGTAGTGTTACAACCTAGATTAAAAGAAGTTTCTAAAAATAAAACTATACAAATGTAAGGTAATTCAATGAATACTTCCCCCTTTTAACCTTTTGAGGAAATTATGGCTCTAATTTGGTTGTCATGGAAAGAATTCTGTAAAAGACAGCAGCTTTGCTCTCTCTTTTTAAAAATTATTGGTAAGCATCAAACTAAAGAAATTATTGTCTGCTGGGAAATACATCTTTGTAACAATGCAGTTCAGTACTTCAATTTTCTGTATTAGCTTACAACTCAGAATGGAAGACCTTACAAGCATTTACTTCTGATTAGTCCCCAATGTCACACACGGAACAGAAATAATAAAACCAGAAAAAGTATAAAGCAACAACAGTAAACGGAACAAAGTTGTCTGAAAACAATGGCAAGTTCTACAAGAAAAATCTACAGCTTCATTCTGGAAGAAAGCTTGAGGAAACTTGGAAGGAGAGGCCACTGAGACCCCCGGGATCCCTGCCTGCTCAATTCTAGGAAGGATTTGGGTTTCTATGTGGGAGTTTATTACACATATAAGGTAGGAAAAGGTGTTGAAAACAGAGGATTGGCTGAAGTTTAATGATGAAAATAGCCGTACCTTTGGGTACACTACACATGGGAAAAACACAGTGCAGGCTGGCGTTTAGCCCCAGGGTGAAAATGAAGAACTGAGCAAGCCTGTGGGAGCTGCCGTTGCTCTCAGCACAGCATTTGAGAAACCACAGCAGTAGACAGCGAGCCTAAACTCCCTGTAAATGGAAGAATCGGCCACTGTTATTTATCAAGTTAACTATCAGCTTGCTACCTAGAAAATAAATAGATATTTTTTTACAGATCCAACAGGAGAGACTCACAGTAGCAAGTGAGTAAAAAAGAAAGTGAGTAAAAAGCAACCGAGCAAAGAAAACAAATAAAAACCCATTTGTGGGTTAACTAGAGATAATTTAAGAAAGATAAAAATAAAATATGCAATTCATTATTTGGACTTTACAAGATATTGCCATTGATTAATGAAAATATAATCTTACTCACTTTGGCAGCACATGTGCTAAAAATAAAAATGTGATGATCCTGTGGAAAAAAAATTGGAAAAATGGTACTAGAGATTAAAGATACGATTGCTTAATTGAAGAAATATATACAAATGCTTGCATATAATACTAACATTTCTAGAATGTATAGCAAAGAATAAAGATACAAAAAGAAAAACCTCAGCAGAAAAAGAAAATAACGAAACTATAACTAACCCATATAAGTATTCTAATATTCTAGTAAGAAGAATTTCAGAATGCAAAAACATAAAACGTAGGGAGGAAGTTAAGGAAAAAATGATGGAAAGAAAATTTCATTGCTAAAACTAAAGGTGGAACTTTAGGTTGATAGTGTTCATTCAATGTGGGGGAAATAGATTTTAAAACTGTTACCTGGATATGTTCCAGTAAAATTTCAGCACCAAAAAAGATAGAAGGAAAAATAAGCAAAACATGTATTTGTACAAAAATGGTAGAGGCCTGTTTTCCTGCTCATCCTTGGTAAATACAACTTTTATTATTGAAAAATGCACAAACTATAATCTAAGGAGAACCCTGAATGTGTTCAGATCATGGAAGATGAGCTGTTTGTGGATGTTATTGCTACAGAGAATGACTGTAGTGTAAACTGTACCGAAAGTTAGACTCAGAGGTTTTTTCTGGCACCTTATGTGGCAAAAACGATTGTTCAGGTTGATGCATTCCTCACCTGGATCAATTTAGTGCTCTGTCCTGACAAAGTCAGGCCACTCCTCAGCATTAGAGGGAAGATGGATTTGGAAATTTCCACTCTCCTTCTCCACCAGGCCTGAGATTTATTTTGCCTACAGCTGCCAAGGAAGGTAAGCAGAGGCAGACAATTAGAAAGTTGCACTTTCTAATTGTCTGAGACCCCCGGGATCCCTGCCTGCTCAATTCTAGGAAGGATTTGGGTTTCTATGTGGTAGTTTATTACACATATAAGGTAGGAAAAGGTGTTGAAAACAGAGGATTGGTTGAAAGAGGCTTCCTGTTTTGAGAAGCCTTTTTGCTCTTTTGAACTGGAGACTTCTTTTGCCCAGAAGCATGGGAGCTGGTGGAAAGGTGAAGGGAAGATGATCCTATCTCACTGCTTTCTTTTTAGTGAGTTACTTGGCCTCTCAGGAATAATAAGTATAAGTCAATTACAGCAGCAGTTTGACAAAACTCTCTATCTACAATAAAATCTTCAACCAGTTAGTAATATAAGGGCATTACTGCAACTTGAAAAGGAGAATCAACAATAAGTCTACAAGTATTGTACTTAAATGGTGACAAGTTCAACTACTTTCTGCAGGCAAGGACAAAAACAAGGGTGCCTGTCTTCAATGCTCCTATGTCACATTGTACTAGAAATTCCAGCGATAATAGTAAAGTCTTACAGATCTTTATGAATGAATAAATCTCTATTTATAGCTATTAATTGTTTACAAGGAAAATCTTACAGCATCTGCAAACAACTCATAGTAGGAATAAGTGAGTTTCATAAGGCTACAGTACAGGATGAAAAATAAACACAAATTTCAAATGCATTTCTATACATTATTCAAGAGGAAATAAATCAAAAATGTAATACCACTCAGAATCTTTCCAAATAAGTTAATATTTATGTATATATTTAGCAAAACATAAAGTTTATACACAGCGATTTATAATATTCTAATTAAAGAAAGCAAGGACCCAAATGAAGAGAAAGGTAGATGGTGTTTATGAATTAAAAGAATGAACAGTTAACAGATGTCAGTTAAATACTAATGGTTCTAGATTTGAGGCAAATCTCTTCTAAATCCTAGAAAGTGTTTTTGTATATAAATACAAATTTATTTTAAAATTTATATGGAAGGTTAAACACTCTGGAATAGCTAAAACAATCTTGCCTTGAAGGCTAAAGGGGGAAGTATAAACGTGTGTATGATGGTATGTAATTAAAACTGCATGTTATTGGTGGAAAGATACTCACATGGATCAGTGGAGCAGACTAGAAGTCCATAAATTGACTACAATAATATACAAAAATGACTAAGGTGAGAAGTAGCTCAATTGAAGATTGCCTCTTCAACAAATGATCCTAGAACAGCCACTATCTCTAGGCTAAAATAAACCTTGACTTAAACATCACAACTTACACAAATATTAACTCAAGGTTAAACACCAATTCAAATATGAAACACTAAAACTATACAATGTTTAAAAATAGTAGGAAGTCTTTGATCTGTGACTACACAAAGAACTCTTAGATTTTAAAATAAAAGCATAATCTATAAAATAAAATGACTGAAGAAATAAACCTCATAATGTTAAAAGAACATTTAATATTCAGAATGGGAAATTATATTTGCAAATATTTATCAGAAATGTTATCTAGGATTACGAATACACAAATTTTTTGGAACACAACATTAAAATGGACAAAAGACATAAATAGATCTATTATCAGCTATGACAAATAAGAGTCAATATGTGAAAAAATGGTATACATCATCCAGTCATTATGAAAATGTAAATTA